TTCACCAATTTGTTCAGCACTAAGCTAGTGCTGACCCTTCTGGGACACCCAGTCCATACAGTGAACTAAATAAAAATGGCAACAGCAAATTTAAATAGATTAGTAGCTCCTGAAGCTTTTCAGTATATGCAGTTGTGTTGAATATTTCACACACGCATTCTGCATTATGACCAGGGAAGATGCAAAGGACTAAATAGCTGAAAAATAAAAACACATAAAGAATTTATTTTGTGATTAATAAAGATCTTTAACATTGTTTCTCTACATCCTCTTTCTGTTTTTTCTCCTTTTATCATGATATATCTTGTTTTCTCTGCCCTTTGGAAATAGGGAAAAACCTAAAACATGAAGACCATTAAACATACCTGTAAGTTTATCACTCAGTTTCTTTAGAGGTAATAATTAACATTTTTAAATGTATTTACTTATGACTTTTCCTACAGCTTTAGTGGGTAAAACATATCTTAATACAACTGTAATTTTGCATTATTCTTTTTCACTTGGCTTTTTATCAGAAGCATGTATCTTAAGATTTTTTTGGCTATATTTTGGCTATTATTCTATTGTATCAATGTGCTTACTTCATTAAACTAGTCTTCTGTTAGATATTGTAAAGGTGCTTTTTGGTTACAGAGTTACAAATATCTGTATGTATAGCTTTTGTTTGAATTTCTGACCTTGTTCTCCTGACTGATTTCCAATAGTGGAATGACTGGTTCAAGTTTACAGTGACATTTTTAGGGCTCTTGATACAATCAAAGAATTTTTTTCTGGAACAAATGAACTAATTTATGCATCCAGAATCATTAGATGCCTCATTACATGCTTGCCAGTATTGAGTAGCATAATTAACTTTCCTTTCCAAATTGATATATGAAAAATGATGTATCATTCTTTTTGCATTTCTTTAGCTACTATTGAACTTGACCATACTTTTCTCTTGTTTATTAGCCCCTTATATTAATACTTTTTATATTTTCATTTTGTTAATTATCTCTTCAAATTCTATGTTTATGTTTCTGTTTGAATTTTAGTTTTATTGCAGTCGATCCTTTTCTCACCTAATTCCTCTTTCATGTCAACTTGCTCTCTCCCCATGTCTCTCTGTTGGTATTCGGTTGAGTCCATGTCTTCTTGTATTCCATAAGGATATCGCATAATCATCATTTTAAAAACATTTTTTCCTTCTGATTCTTATATACAGTAAATGATATTTTTTTTGAAAGATTTTTACAATAGGGCACGTGCACTCACAAGAAAGAGAGAGACAGAGAGACAGAAAGCGAGAAATCACCCCCCCAGGGGCCTGGCCACACCACAATCCCTTCTCCATCTCCTCTCAGGATCTTGGGCACGCATACACATGAGCCCGGCATGAGTTTAAGCCACTGGATCTGGGACTCAAACTGCGGTCGACTACATGGGAGTCCAGCCACATAGCCGTTATGCCAACTGCTGGTCCCAGTAAATCATAAATTTTATTTCTGGAAATAAATATTATACCATACAAATGATAAAATTGAATATAAAAATAGACTTAAATAAATCATAGTATATGTGTTTATATATACTTACCAATTATGTAAAACTAATCTCTAAATATAAAGGCCAGGGTTTATGTATAGATGTGTGTGTGTGTGTGTGTATGTATTTATTTTTTTACAGGTGTTTGATTTGCTAGTGACTTTTAAATTAATGGACTTTCTCTAGTTAAGTATAGTTGTTGTATCAGTTAGCTATTGCTTCATAAAAAATAACCCCCAAAGTCACTGACTTAAAACAATAAGCATTTGTTATGGCTCTCTAGTCTACAGATCATCTGGAAAGTTCTTTTGATGTCTTTGAGCTCATTTATAAATCTACAGTCAGCTTTGCTGATCTGGATTGGGGTCTCACATTTGGGTAGGGGGTCCCTGGTTTTATGCCGACCTGCAATGTTCTCACAGATTAGACAGCTCTGCTTTTTCAGTTCTCTTCTCCAGCAGCTTAGTTTAGGTGCTGCAAAAGAGTGAGCAGAAACATGCAAAGCCTCTTAAGATCTAAACTCAGAACTGGAAATCCGTCCCTTTGCCCCATTCTGTTGGCTATGGTAAATTACATCTCCAGCCCTGATTGAAACATTGGGCAGATAGATTCCAAGTCTTTATGGGAGAGCTGGAAAATCCAAATCCAAAGGGTTTAGACAAGGAGGCAAGAATAAATGGATCCATTTCTGTAATGAGACTACTGTAATCATAAATAAACAAAAAATTTGAAGTCAGTTTAAAATTATCACAGTTTTCTAGACAATATTTTTTAGTTAATGCATTTGAATGCCTCCAAACATCTACTGAATGCTAGGAAAAGGAGGTGTAAGTGGCAACATTACTGTCAACATAATCTCACAGGATGTCACACACCAAAAATGAAACCATTTGTGTGGCACATGGGACTGTATAAGATAATTCGGCAACATTGGTGTGTGGTTTGGTGGAAACATGTATTGTATTTCTGTATATTATGTAATCACAAGAAAAAACATTTTTTAAAGAGAGATTTATTTTGCTATAGGGCACATGTGCTCACCAGAGACACAGAGAGAGAGTGTGTGAGAAATCACCCTGCAGGGTGGATGGCCACACCACAATCCCTTCTTGTCCATTCTCCTTTTGGGATTTTGGGGATGCACACACACGCACCTGGTGTGAGTTTCAAGCCAGCAGGTCTGGGACTTGAACAATGGTCGACCACGTGGGACTCGAACTGCAGTCAGTCACGAGGGAGTCCAGCGTCCCTAACCACCATACCTCCTGCCAGCCCATTTCTCATGTTTTTTAAAGAAAAAAATGATACTATTCTTGACCTAAATATTAGGGATGAGGGGGCAGTTAATAACCTCTCCTCATTTTAAAGACTATTTTCTATTTTTTTATTGTGGTAAAATAATACATAACATAATTAACCATTTTAACCACTTTTAAGTGTATAGTTCAGTGACCTGAAGACCAGTTACATGCTCTCCACTGGAATCCATCTCGACATTTTTATCATTCAAACTATGTGCATTAAACAGTATTCCACATTTCCTCAATGATGCTTGTTTTTAAAAGAGATAACTATATGAGCTGGGTTTTTTTTTTTTTTTTACATGAATAAGCACATAATTGCTCTAGGGATATGAGGGAAAGGATATTTGCTAATATAACGCAAATGCAGAACCTACTGACAAAGGTATATAATTTATAAAATAGCTGAGTGGGCAAAATTCTGATTTTCAGTTGCCCTTGGCACTTCAGTGCACTTCTGATAATGATTTTCCTTGGGCATGTAGTTATACTGATAGAAATCATATCCATGCATAAAGAGTGAGCTTAATTATACATAACTACCTACCTAATATGAGGTTTTATAGTTTTTTTAACCTATGCTTTCTGGCTTATAAAAGGTGGGACAATCCTATCTGATCTCAAAAAAGTAGTGTATTCTCAGAGCATGAGAGTTCTATTGTTTGATTTATCCTTTTTATAAAAAAGACTTTATGTTTTGCTTTTCCCTCCATTTTGGGAATTGTTCTCATCACAGTCTAGTCCGGTCCCCACTGTGACTCCAAGGACAGGCAAATGCATAAAGACTAATGCAAGGTTTTGGACATGGTCAGTGATAGAGCAAAGTTAACCGATTCTTACTGAGAATGACCTTTCTTTGCATCTTCAACTCACTTGCACTGAGTCCAAGCATTTGAGCTCAAAATAATAAAAGAAGGAAGCCCAAATGGTTTGAATGTTGGTGTCTGCACAGACACCATGCTAAGGTGCTTTACATGTATTATTTTGTTTAATCCTCACATTTCTGTGAGGTAGGAATTAAAACCCATTTTACAGATGGGAAAACTTAAGGAACAGAAACATGATATAACTTGCCAAAGGTTCTAAATAACAGCCCAAGGATTCAGAGACAGGCAGTCTAGAGTCCTTGCTACCCACTTCTCTATTAATACGTGCTCCTGCTCCTTATCAGGCTTGGCTGCAGGGTTCCCTTAGAGGAGGGTCAAGGTGAAACATCAACAGCAATAAAAACAGAAATACACACCAAACCCAGAACACATTTGAGCCCCTTCACGGTCAGGTGAATGGCCTTCGACTAAGGCCAGAGGGTCTGGAGGCCCTGCAGCTGGGGAAGGAAATAGATAGGGCAAAGGTTCCTAATCTCAAGAGGCACGTTTGCATATGTTTTCATGATGTCCATGAGTTAAATCCATGTCTCTGTAACAAGCCCTTCCAATCTATAAGTGGCACTTTTGTGAATAATTTCATGGATCTTGAAGCCTGTACCCTCCTTGTATTAAGAGGTAGCATGGTATAAAAATTACTCTTGAGGTCTCAGTCCACCTCTGCTTATTCAAGTGCACTGAGATTTCCTAGAGAAGTTAGCCATGTTTACTATGTTGCACTTGAATAATTATACCTCAAATAGAACTAAGAACATTTTCTGATGATTTCCTACTGAAGCATAGTCTTTATTTCAAAGTTGTGGCATCGTATTCAGCATGCCGTTATAAAATAGCTCCACTGAACAAGAGCAACAGTTTGTAGTTGAGTCCTAGGAAAGATTTGTTAAGATATGTTTAAAATTATGTTACATATATTAATATTTGAATCTAATGAAGTATTTAAAAATATTAACTAAATGAAAACATTAAGATTAATGTGACAATGTAGAAGACTGGAGTTAGGACAAGGGCCCAAAAGATACCGACTGAGGCTGTGGCTAGGAATATTCTCCTACTCCCCACCACACCCTGATCTTCGTCCTTGCCCCTTGTTGCATCACTGTTAAGGCAACACGGGGGAGTGGGCACTGTCTGTATCCTTAGCCTACTCTGAAAACACTGCTCCATTTGGTCAAGTGACCCCAAAGCTACCATGTAGATCATACACCATGGCCAGAAAGAGAGGTGTCCTCAAATTAATCCTAACCCAAAGGGTTTGTTTTCATTTTCTTTGATTTCGTTTTCTTTATAGCCACTTGGAGCCAGTGACTATTTGGAACTATCAAAGAATTTCGATACAATATTTTTACGAAACATTCCACAATTTACATTGGCAAAGAGGACTCAAGCTCGAAGATTCATAACTCTCATCGATAACTTTTATGATTTCAAGGTAAATGTTTATGATTTCTTTTTCTCAAAACCAAACATTTTAGGCCGTGGCGCCAGATCGCCTGGCCCTGTCAAGTTCTTTGCCTTTCTGTGCGTCAGTCTCCTCATCTATGAATGGAGAATGATAGTTACTTACTTCAGAGCTTTGTTATGAGGACTAAAGCTCATTTAAAACAATTTTGGTGGCCCAGCCTCCATGGTGCTGGTGATGGCATGCTCAGATGCAGTACTGGAAGCGACGTGGCTGATGGTGGGTTCAGATCCCTGGTGAACCTGGAATGTAATGGCTGGCCAGGATCCTGATGTGCTGGAGGGCTGGAGGAAGGAATAGCAGCATGATGAGACCTTGTAGAAGATGCTTCTCACTCTGTGTCTGTGTGTACACATGTGCTCCCTATTATGAATGGAATGAATAAAGTTTTTAAAAATAAACTTCCTGTTTGGCCCAAGTGGAATGCTGTGTGAGTACTACTAGTAGTAGCAGCAGTAGTAGTATAGTAACACTTCAGCACAAGACACTCTGTTGGTCCCCCTCTTCACCCCAGCAAAAGAGGACCAGACATGGGGCCTGGAGCCTGCATGTTCATGTGCTTCTCTGCTGCTATGAGGAATAAGGATGGAACATGCACAGGGAGGAAAGGGAATATCGGAGTGGGGAGTTTGCAGTAAAGATCCTGGGGGAACAAGCATGGAAGGCAGCAAGAGTGGCTCTGACACAGCAGCCAAGGGAAGCTTGCCTTACTGAGTGACATTGACGTCTACTACTCTTGCCCGAGGGGCCAACACTGTGTTATCAGAGTCAGAGAGGGGGAGGATGAGGACACAGGGATGGGGGATCCTGGCCCATCAGTGTGAGTGGCTGCCTCTTTCCAATAGTTGGTGGGGCCCAGAGTGAAGGGAGTGAGCTTGTCAGGGCAGGGTGGGGATGGGGAAGCATCCTTGGTTTTCACGGGCTGAGGCTCTAAGAAGAAAATGATAGTTGGTGTCAGTAGATGGTTCTTAGAGTGAGGATTGAGAGACTCTTACTGTTTTGATGTTTCTGCGAGGAATATATTAAAGGTAGCTTATAGCTCCCATCCCTCAGTCTCACTCCCTAATCCTAACCCCGCCCCCCTTTTCATTTTTTTATAGGGGGGAGGGTTTGCCATAGGGCCCATGTACTTGCTGGAGAGACAAAGAAGGAAATGAGAAATCACCCCTGAGGGGGTATGGCCATGCCACAATTCCCTCTTTTCCATTCTCCTCTTGGGGTTTTAGGCATGCATGCATACACTCTGCATGATTTTCAAACCACTAGGTCCAGCACTCAATCCATGGTCGGCCATGTAGGAATCCAGCACCTTGACCACCTGGTGGCCCCTTCACTTATTTTTTTTTAATTAATTTTTTTAGAGAGATGTTTTTGCTATAGGGCACATGCACTCATGGGAGAGACAGAAGAAAGCAAGAACTCACTGCCTGCCCCCAGGAAAGAAAGCCACACTGCAGTCCCTTCTCCTCCGTTCTCCTCTTGGGATTTTCGGCACCCATGCATGTGCTTGGCGTGATTTTCAATCCACTGGGTTCCAAACTCAAACCATGGTCGGCCATGTGTGAATCCAGCACCTTGACCACCACGCCACCTGCTGGCCCCTTCACTTTTTAAAAAATAATTCATTCATTCATTATTTTTTAGAGAGATTCTTTGCTATAGGGCATGTGCACTTACTAGAAAGACAGAAAGAGACAGAGAGACAGAAACTGAGAAATCATCCTCTGAGGGGATGGCCGCACTGCAATCCCTTCTCCTCCTTTCCCCTCTCAGGATTTTGGGTATGCATGCGCACACACACACACACACACACACACACACATGCACACACACACACATGCCTGGTATGAGTTTCAAGCCTCCAGGTCCAGTATTCTAACCACGGTTGGCCATGTGGGAGTCCAGCAACATAACCATTATGCCACCTGCTAGTCCCTAAGTTTGTTTTCATTTTTGCCAGAGGCCATGTATTCTCTCCAGAAGAGAGACAGGGAGATGGGGGAGGAGGGAAGATGGAGAAGGCACCCTTCAATGTAGTGTGGTTACACCACAATCCCACCTCCATCTCTCCATTCTGTCAGGCTTTTGAGGGTGTATGCACATATGCTTAGTGTATTTTTCAAGCTGCCAGGGTGGGAATTCAAACCACATGGTCAGTCATGTGGAATCTAGCTCCCTTAATTCGCACTTTTACTTCTTAATTAGCAGGAAAAAAAAAAAAAAGATTTAATCTGGCAACTTGTTATTACAGAATACCCAAACCACTCTTCTAACATTTGCTTTAACTAAATCACATGTTCAGAGCTTATACTCTTTTTAAAAGTATAGTCAAAATTATCTTGTTTCTGGAATTGGGAGCATTTAAACAGACATTATTTTAGAATGTATTCATGAAGATTTGTGAAATAAGGATTTTCCCATCTAAATAATTTTTAGTGTCATTCGTAATTAAAAGAATTTATAAAAGGAGGTAGAAGGGATATGGAAAAGCTAGTGCCAAATGTCAACACATTATTCTTAAGTATTAGTGTATTTATTTAAATAATGATTTTAAAACGATAGCTGTGAATCCTGAAAACAAATTTAGGACTCTTTAAACATCAAGAAGAGTATGCTTTATATTTAAACTGTGGATGTAAAATATGTAAAAGGTATAAAAGCTCTTTCTAATCCATGGTCACATATGCACACTCACTCCAATAGTTATGTAATCAAGAGGTATTAATGTAAAGCTTAGTCTTTTTGAAGACTGCTGGCAGGGTGCTGATATGAATGTAGCTTCTGGAAACTCAGGGTATAATTAGAGCAGTAATGCACTGAACTTTGCAGTCAGCTCCACAGCAATGTGGTAACCTCTGTGTGGTGCACCTGGGGAGCTCTTGTACACATAGAGACCAGCTCCAAATAGCCAGGTAAAAATGTCATCATGTGAGAGTGTATTTGCCTGAGTCGGTGCTGCTGTAACAAAATACCACAGACTGGCTAGCTTATAAATAATAGAAATTTATTTCACATTCTAGAGGCTGAGAAATCCAAGATCAAGGCTCAGCAGGTTTGGCTGTTTGGTGAGGGCTGGTCTCCGTTTCACGCTGGTGTCTCATTGCCATGTCCTCTGGAGAGGATAGACACTGTGACTTCACACAGTGGGGGGTGGATAGAAAGGAAAAGGGGGTAAACCCCCTTCATCAGGCCCTTCTATAAGGGTACCTAATCCTTTATCACCTCCTAAAAGCCACGCTTCTTAACACTGTCTCACTGGGATTATGTTTTAATGTAAATTTTAGAGGGGACAAAAACATTTAAACTATAGTAGTCAGGG